ACTAATTCCCCTGCAGCGAGGCGGAGAGGGGCTCCGAGCCCCGCGGGGAAGAGCCGGGTGTCCGTCCTGCTTTAGCACCGGGCTGTGACACTGCTCGGGGACGGGAGCCGCGCTTGGGGACGTGCGAATTTTCCGGCTCAGTTTTCCCGTGCCCGGGGCAGGAGCGGCAGGAGCCCCAAGGGAAGGGTGTTAGCAAGTGGTTGTGAAGCGCAGGCAGCCGCGGGGCCGGGAATCGGGAGTGGGAACGCGATGCAAAACCCGGCCTGGCAGCACCCGGGCAGCCCCTGGATGGGGGCAGTGCCTCCCCCAGCCCCTGCTTGCTCCTTCCCGGCGGGAAGAACCAATTTCCTACGTTCTGGGCGACCACACAGAGTGTCCTCAGGGCGCACCCACTGCCTCTGGTCGTACCCAGGCTGCTGGTGGTCCAAGACCCCGATGGGCACTGGCAGAACCCTTCACCAGGGGGGATCTGGATGCACAGAGACCTCTGCCCGTGGGTGCTCTGCACCCAAACACACCTCCTTGCCGTGCAAGGGGCTTAATGTGCCTCGGGAAGAGCCAGATGAGGCCCGAGGGGGCTATTCCTGCTGAGGGTTAGGAGCAGACGTATCCAAGCCCACACCCTGGTTCACCTCCGCCCGCCCCGGGGAGTCCCGGGGCTGCCAAGGGGATGCTCCCGGGATCGGCAGGATTCTCCCAGGAACCGGGAGAACGGAGCACGGTGTCACTACAGAGCAATTAGCTCCCGCTTATCTCCGTTAGGTGTGCGATTAGTCTCCCATTAATGCAATTAGCGCCGTGGCGCCCGTGGAACGATGTAATTGGCACCGAGGCAGCTGCAGCTCAGCTGCTGAGCGCCAAACGGCAACTGTTTGGGGTTTATGGGAGCTCGCGGTCACCTCCCCGAGCACTGGAAGGGCTGGGTTTTCTTCAGCCCTTGCTGGGCACCCACACCCGCTCCTTGCTGGGTTCAGTAATTTTCCACCCACTGTCCTTTCTTCAACCCCCCCGAGCTGTTTCAGGGAGGTGATGAGAGGTGTCCCAGCTGCTGCGGGCCGGGGGGAGCTGCGGTTTATCCTCTTAGGGGGTCGGAGGACCAGGTGTGACCTTGGCTGGACGCAGGTCCTTCCCAAAGCCTTTCACTCTCTGTGCACCACAGCCCCGACACCGCCAGCCTGTCGGGATGGCAGGGAAGAAGAAAGGCTCAGCTGGACGGGGACGGGACTGTGGAGGATCCGTGTCCATCCTGCTCCCCCCAAAAACTGTAATCTTCCCGACCACCAGCGTGAAATCCCCAGTCCTTCTCTGGAAAACCCACCAAGCCACCTCCCTCCTCCAGCCGGGGCTTTGATGGCTCGAGCAGATGAAACTGTGGCACAACTTCCCTGCCGATCCGGCTCCGGCGTTTGGCTCTGGGAGAGCTCCTGACAATCTTGATTAACAGCCTCTTCATCCATTCACCGGTGACGAGCCACGGGAGCTCTGGGCCATCGCAGCTCTATAATCAAGACGGTTTTGAAAGAAGCAATTTTCTCCTCCTGCAGCCCGGTTAATTCTCTTTTAATTGCTTCCCATTCCGCACAGATTTCCCTCGATTGCCATGGCATTGGCTCCACGCTTCCTCCTCTCCAGCGGTGCTTGACTCACGCCTTGTTTTGCCAGGCTGGGATTTGGGGTGGTTTGGGTCAGTTTGAAGCCATTCCTTGTGTCCTGTCCCTCCATCCCTTGTCTCCCAGTCCCTCTCCAGCTCTCCTGGAGCCCCTTTAGGCCCTGCAAGGGGCTCTCAGGTCTTCCTGGATCTTCTCCAGGTGAACCTCCCCAGCTCTCCCAGCCTGGTTCCAGAGCAGAGGGGCTGCAACCCTTGGAGCATCTCCATGACCTCCTCTGGACTCTGCCCAGCAGCTCCACGTTCTTCCAGTGCTGGGGGAGCTGGATGCAGCACTCCCTGTGTGGAAAGCTCCATGGAATGAGCCACATCTCGCTGGGGAAAAAAAAGAAGCTGCTTTATGTGCTTAGTCAGTCTGTGTCTGTCTAAGCACATCTGAATCATATTAATGCACTAAAATACAGCTCCCATCAGCCACCCAAAGGATTTCCCTCAGGAACGTGAGCATTTCTATCACCACGGCTTTGGGTTAGTGATGGAGCATCAGTCAAACTTCAGGCAGGATTGAACCCTTCCAGCCTATGATCCAAGGCTTTTCCTGAATATCTCACTTTCCCCTCAAACCATCAGGCTCAGTCACACTGCTTTTCCTGTCTCGAGCTCCCATTTGTGTTTGTGCTTCATTTGCAGGTGATTTTCAGGCTGCAGTTTTCCCTCCTTGTGTCCCTCCAGGTCTCTGGCTCCTGCTGGGCTAACAATTGTCCCTCTGCGACTGCTGCAAGGGCTTAACCCAGAGCTTCCCTTTTTATCCCATATTTCACACCACCAAAGGCTTCTCCAGAGCCACCAGTTCCCTGGGATTCTCCAGCCACCCCACTGAAGTCATCCCCCTGCAAAGTCATCCACCCTCCAAGGCCTCACCCGGCACCCCCAGAGCTGCAAGCCCAGGACAGAAGACTCTCTTAACTTGCAACATCCCTGGATCACCCACTTTTTCAAGGGCTGGTTTCATCCCAACCAGCTGACTTGGAGATGCTGATAGTCCCTGGCAGCCTCAGAAGATCCCTTGGGACCCAGCCAGGAGCTCTCTGACACCTCGTGGTGGGGGCTCAGCCGCACTCAGCGCACAAACCCCGCAGACTTTGTGCTGGCTGAGCTGTGACAGCCCTGTCACCCCACACCGTGGGCTGGGGAGGGCAGGGGAGGATGTGTCCTTGGGGATTTGCATCCCTGGAGAACGGGGAGGCAGCAAATGAAGCGGGCAGGGAAGGAAGGAGCAGGAGAGGGGATGGACATCTGCTTCTCAAGCACTCACCACTGGCAGTACCCGGCTGGCGTTGGGCCCTGTGGGCACAGAGTCGATTGAGGCAAGTTGTGACTCTTCTGCTGCACCCAAAAATGAGGGTGTGCTGCTGGGAGGGGCTGGCAGGGCAGCTGGAGCAGGGAGCTGGCTGGAAGTGGATGCTGCTTGGACAGTGGAGAGCGGTCGCGTTCGAGGGGTGGATGGCTGGGTCAGGGTGGGGTGCTGGGGACATTCCCAGGGGCAGAAAGAAGCTGTGACCTGCAGAGGAGGGTGCTGAGCCCCCCAGTCACGCTGATGTCTCCTGAAACAGGTCTCAGACCTGGGGGATGCCTGGCAGGATGGTGCTCAGCCAGCAGAGCCCAACATCTCCCTGTCTGACACGGAACAACAGGGTTGTTTAAAAGGGTTGGGATGTTTGCAAGGGGCTCTCCTGGTGCTGCAGGTGCTTGGGGACTGCAACCATTTCCAAACAAACCTGGAAAACCTGGGTGCACATCCCCGTGGGAGCATCCTCGAGGGCTCCAGCAGGAGGAGGGGTTGGGATGCTGGGTGTGATTCCCACTGGGTGTGATTCCCACACCTCTGCTGCCTCAGGGCTCCTCCAGGAGCCTTTTCTCCAGGGCTGAACGCAATCACTGGTGTCTCTGAGCTTTAGTTTCCCCCTAACTGGAAAAATAGCCCTTTGAAATTTTCATGAGGGCGGCAGGGAATGGTGAAAGCCATTTAAAGTGACTGCAGTGACAAATGTCAGCGAGAGGCTCGCACTGGGGGGAGAGCAGCGAGGGAGAGGGCACTGGAATTAAAGGATGAAGCATTTATTTGGGAGTTTGGCAGCCCTGGAAGGGCAACACACCACGGGCCAGAGGCACCCTGGGGGCAGACAGCGCTGGGAGCCACAAATGGGCTGGAAAATGCCCCAAGATTTCCCTTCCTCCCCACCTCCCACCCCTTGCAGGGTGGTTGCCAGCCTGGCAAAGCACAAAGAGGGTTAAACATCCAGGAATGGCCCAAAGCTGTGGAAAAGCAGGCAGAGATGTGGGGTGTGAGCCAAGGTGGAGGATGGGGAGTGATGGTCTGGCTTGGCTTTGAATCCCAGCTCTGAGGGAGGGATCCATCGTGCCGTGGGACAGGGAGGTCCTGGCTCTGCCAGGGGGTTGTTGGCACAGGCCAGCCTGGCTGGAAGGTGAGATGGAAGCTCAGCTCAGCTCCTCCACAGGGAATCAGGATCATGAGCTTCCCTCTGTCTCCACCCAGGCTCTGCATGGTAGATTTTCTCCTCAGTTTGCTGGGGATGGTTCAAGGCACTCAGGACCCCCAAACTGCGACCCTGGGCCAAGGGGGGGTGACCAGGGCAGGAGACAACCCCCATGGTGAGCTGGATGTATTAATCAAACAAAGAAACTAAATAAAAACCCATCTCTGTGTGCTGGAGAGGCCCCTGTGAGTCCCCTCATCCCACTGGGATGTCCCACAGCACCCAGATCCCATCCCTGGGGTCCCACTTTGCTTTTCCCAGCCCTGAGAGGTGCCAGAATAACAACAAGGGTTAACCCACAGTGATCTCAGGAGGCCACAACCTCGTCAAGAGCACAGGATTGGCAGGCCATTAATCTCAGAGTTACTTGATAACTTAAAATACAATCATGCAATCAGCAGGAACCTGTAATTATTATTTATGTGCATGGTGCTTACTAAATTACAGCTCTCTCCAAGGCTCTCCAAATTAATTCTGCATCGGAAGAGCTTGACCAGAAATCTGTTTGTGTCTGAATTTCACTTGTAAACACTGATGTATGAAACGAAATTCGAGTTTAATTGGCCCTCCCTCCTGCTGAGAAGCACATTACATTTTTGTTCTGCCTTAGCTGAGGTGCAGGGTGGGGGGGAAAGTTTGGAGGAGTTTCTCCAGCCCCTGATGGTGGGAGATCCACGTGGGCTGGTCCTGGATTTTGGGGTAGGAAGGAGACAAAAAAAAAGCCACCAGGGTGCTTCTGGAGCAGTGGGATGCTGAGCCCACTGAGGTGGGAGGATGCTCCCGTGGGAACTGAGGAAGGGTTGTCCTTTCCAAAAGATAAACATGCCCCAAAAAAGTCCTTGTGAGAGGAATCCAAGTAGTTTTAATCAACTGAGAAAACACACACACACACACTTCTCCATCTACAGAAAGCAAAGTCACATCAGCCAGAGCAAACCACCAAGAGGAGAAGGGAAAAACGGTGATGCGAGCACAGGTGTTTCTGTTTGGGTTTCTTTCTTTGGTTTTTTTTCAATTTCCAGCTTCTTTCCCACCAAATGTAGACCCTGGCCTTTAGGAAAATCCGAATTGAACGTGTAGCACATCGTGGTGGGGTTTTTTTGGTGACGTCACTTGTGGGGATGATGAAAAAAAGCTCCCTGGGGCGTTTCCCCTTCGTCAGATCCAGCAGATCTTTATTAATCTGCCAGAGCACCTGGCAGAGAAACCAAGACACAAGAGAAGACACAAGTCTGCTCCTCACAGGAGCAGCTGCAGAACTGGGAGGTGCCAGTTTTCCCACTGCATAACCCTGGGGGTCTTTTTCTCACCCATATATTGGATTAAGGGCATTTTCTGGGGCTGTTGGTGATGGATGAACTTGTACAAAGCCTAAAACCTGCCCCATCTGCAGGGTGTGGCCCTCACTGTGGTCACTGTGTCATCCTGGGAGCTGTTGCTTCTCCCAGTGCATCACTGGGGGCAAATGGGATGTTTCTGTTTTAGCTGCACTGTGGACATGCAGGTGGGAAATCAAAGTGGGAGGGAAACGTGAGGAATTTGGCTTCAGACAACTGAATTTCTCAAATGCTTAAAGAAAGAACCCACAGGTTTTTCCCTTTAAAGAATAAAATAAAATAAAAAAAAAAAGATTTTACTCCTTTCTGGTGGTGTATCCTGAGGAAATCACAGAGCACTGTGGTTTCAAAGCTGCTTAAATCTCCCCAGGGCAGGACACACTTATGCCTGTTCTTTATTGTGGGGAAACTGAGGCACAGAAGTGTGAAGGGGCTCACACCACATCCTGTAGGGCCCCACTGGAAAAAAAAAAATCCCTGGGAGGCAGAGAGCAGACTGGTCCCATAATGCCCTGCTGGCATCTGTCCCCCAACCAGGCACCCCCAGACCTCCTGTGGGGCAAGGAAAAGGTGGCTCCAAGGATGCAAACACCTCCACTTCCACTCCACTCTCTGCTCAGCTGCTTCCAGTGACCACGTGGAACAGGGCATGGGGAAGGGGGGAGGATCAGGGACAATCTGGAGTCCCCAGCATGGGCAGGGAGGGATGGAGGGAGGGATGGAGGGAGGGATGGAGGCTGCTGCTCCTCCAAGGCACTTAACCCCAGCCTGGGGATGGTTTGGTCCCACCCCCTGTGCGAGAGCGAGGAGCAGCTTTGGCACTGGGCTCACCTGCACAGGGAAAAGCAGGGCAGGGGGAAAGGGGAGCAGAGCCACAGCATGTCCCTGTGGTAGCTGGGGACATCAGCCACCCCTCCACCACAGGGCTCCTCCAGCTTTCCACCCCCTGAGCAGGGACACGGAGTCAGCCCCAGGTGCAGGGGCTGTGCAGAGACCTGGGGACCCCTCTGGGCTGGACCACCCCACACAATTACCTAATTCTTGTGCCTCCCTTCAGCCCCCACCCCTCTGTGGGTCCCTGGGACCATCCCTGTGCTCTGTGTGGTCCCCTGCCCTCTCCCACCCCACTGCTCCCCCCTCCACCCCAGCCTTGGGGTCAAGGTGAGAAATGACCTGGTCAGACCAAGCAGCAGTTCCAGGACATCTGGGGCAGGGGAAGGGCTCCAATAACCCCAGTGGCAGAGATGACCCCAGGGCTCAACTGAGAGCCCCCTCAGGGCTCAAGTGATCCCAGTGGTACAAAACCACAGCCACGTAAAGCAACGTCTGCCATCAGTCCAGGGCTCTCCATCCACCCCCTGCCAACACAGAGGGCTTTGGCCCCTCCAGAGGGTTTTCCAACACCAGCAGCATCCCAGCACGTGCTCACTGGAAGGGCTGCCCCACCTTCCCAGGGATTAAGCCCCTCAGCTGTCCCAGCAACGTCCTGGTGTCCTGTCACCTCAAAGCAGCGACGAACTCAAGCGAGGCAGCGACGAGGGGCATCGTGCCCGGGCTGGAGCGGGCAGGGGAGGCCTCTGCGACCTCTCCAGCTTCCTCTGGCTCCTTCTTCCACCCCAGCAGCTCACAGCACTGCCAGGGAGGTGAGTGAGCAGCCTCTCAGGTGTCCTGTCCCGCAGGTCCAGGCAGGAGCTGTGCAGCTCCCCCGTGGTGGCCGCAGCGAGTCCGTGGCTAGGAGAGCCCTGCCCCCCGTGCTGTGCCACCCTCACGGCGGGGAATTCCTCTCCCCCATCCCGTCCAGGGCGTCTCCTGGCTCACACAGCCGTGGATTGCTTGATGCTGTGGAAGCTGACGCGGGTGGGGGAGGTGGGGATGGACATGGCCCGGGCCACGCGGGCGCGGATGGAGTGTTTGTCCTGCCAGCGGTGCCAGCGCTTCCGAACGGCCGAGCGCACCTGGGGGCACGGGGAACAGGGGGGTTCAGCCACCACACAGCCAGCCAGAGCCACCAGCCGTCCTCACCCTCAGGCTTGCCACCCAAAAACCCCGCTGAAACCCTGCTCAGCCCCGCCTGGGGGGTCTCAGGAACCCCTGTCACCAACCCAGGGCACCCAGACTGCTTTAGGGCTGGTGGAACGAACGCAGCCCTTGCAACTGCCAGGGGAGATGAACCCATTAACTATGTTAATTAACGCAGTCTTAAGCTGTGTCAGGGAAGGTTTAGGTTGGACATCAGGAAGATATTCCTCACAGAGTGCTGGGACATGGGAATGGGCTGCCCAGGGAGGGGGTGGAGTCACCATCCCTGGAGGTGTTTAAGGTGAGACTGGGTGTGGCATCAGTGCCATTTGTCTGGGTGACAAATGGCTGTTGGGTCAGTCAAAGGTTGGGACTGGATGATCTCAGAGGTCTCTTCCAACCTGGTTGATGCTGTAACATTAACTATTAAGAGAGAGCTTACAATGGAAACAAGAGGGAGAAACAAATCTGAGCGGGGACTCTGTGGGAGAGGCAGCCCCTCACACCTGCATGGGGTGCTGTGAGGGGCTGGAAGAGGTACAGGGGCAGTCAGGGTGGCTTGTCTGGTTCATGCCAGTGGCATGAAGTGCTTGGGAAGGATTCCCCAGGGATGGGGGGGACCCTTGGATTTTCCTCCTCCAGAGGCAGAGGCTGACAGTTGCCATTGCCATCTGGGCACAGCCTGTGCCTGCAGATGTGCCTGGAGGTGAACCACTGACTCTGATCACCTTCAGCTGGGGAATTGGGGACCAGCACCCTTCAAACCCTGTGCAGTGGCAGAGCCTCAGGCTGAGCTTGTGTCTGTAGAGCCCCCCAGACACCCCCCCAGTGCTCACCTCGCTGTTCAGGAAGCAGTAGAAGACAGACACAAAGAAGCCCTGGAAGGAGACAAACAGAGAGCAGAGTCACCTCCACAGACCCCCTGAATTGGGAGCTTTGGAGCAGCCCTGGGGTCTGGGGGTGTCTGTTTTTGGGAGGGGGCAGAAGCTGGGTGAGGCATCAGCCCCACAGGCTCCTCCACATCCCTTGGTGGGGGGACTGGCATGAAAACCAGCACTAGGGACCATACCTGGAAGGACTCCAGGAAGGAGTTGAAGTAGATGAAGACTATCCTGGAGATCTCATCCTCCCCGGGGTTGACGAAGAACAGCATGTAGGTGATCCCCAGCAAGGGCAGCAGCACCAGCGTGGCCTTGACTGCTTTCCTGGGGAGAAAACGTGGACCTGAGCTGCTGCAGGGCAGCCCTGGGCACGAGGGCTCTGCCCATCCCACTCCCAGCAACCAGCATGGCTGGCACTGGCAAACCAGGGGAGGACGGAGCAAAGCTGAGCTGTTTTCCAGTGCAATCCCCAAGGGACTGGGGGCTGCTTTGAGCACTGAGCACCTGCTGTGCTTCTCCATCCAGAAAAGGGCAGTGGAGAGCAGAGGCCTGACCTTGAGCTGGCGTGAAATGACTGCTTGGCTGAGCCAGGGCTCGATTAAAAAGGAATTAAGGAGGGCATAATAATTCCCGCCCTTCAGCATGGGTTTATGAAAAGCTTATCTCAGGTAATTATTTTGGTATCTTTACTTGATGAGATTGCAAGTGTGGCTTGTGGAAAGCCAAGGTGCTGATACAGGGAGTGTGGGAGGGACATCCAGGGCTTGGCACCTCGTTCCTTTGGATCAGGGGACAAGAACAATGCCAAGCCATCACTTTTTGCTTAAAGATCCTGTTAATGGAGAGATTCCAACAGTAGCTATGCGTGGGAAGGTCATCCCTGGTTGGAATGGGACCTGTGTTACATCCCAGACCTGGAGCAGAGCACAGCCCCTGACACAAATGGGCTGATGATGTGGAGGAGTTGGAGGAAACTGAGGACAGGAGCATCTTCAGGCTGGAAAACACTGGGAAAGCACATTGTCCTCATGGGAGCAGCCTTGGCAGCATGAAATCCCTTCATTTTTTTACCTAAAGCCATCAACTAAGGTGAGCAGGAGCCCTCCAGGGCTGTCCCTTGCTGGTTTAAGCAGGACTGCAGAGTTTATAACCTACCAAATTCTCCAAGTTTTCTTGTCCCTCAAAATACTTCTGGGAAATGAACGTGTTCTCCTGTCCAAAGGTGAAAAAAAAAACCCCTCCCTGCCAAAATCAGGCAAATACCAGAAAGCCAAAAGTCCCTCAGAATTGCTGGCTGGGGCCAACCAGCCTTTTTCAACAAGCTTTCTCTTTGCTCAGCCCAAGCTGAACCATCCATCCCATCTCATCCTCCGTGAGGAGGAGAGCTGGTGCTTCCTCAGAACTGAACCAGAATTTTTCCATTCTCAGCTGAAAAAAAAGCCACTCTCCACCCCAAAACCTGCTCCTCTTGGCCCAACACCCACTGAGATCCCCCCCTAGTTCCTGCCCACAAAATGATGCTGAGAGAAGCCCCGGTGAAGAGCGAGGTGTCTTCTCCTGTTCCAGGCAGTTCGGAGAGTTGTTCTGACCATGCACCTCCCAGGTTGCCTGCAAAACATTTCCCAGCAGGGGAGGAAGGGTTAAGTCCTCCTGCCTTGTGCTGTGGGAGTGCTGCCTTCTTCTTCACAGGGAGGTGTTGGGGTGGCATCGATTCATCACTCCTTGCTCAGCCTTTGCTTCGCTGTCAAGCAGCGATTTAATTCTCACCTCCGTGCCAGGATTTGCAGCTCTGAGCCTGGAGAGCTCATCAGGTCTCACCAGAACAGGCTTTAATTTTTTTGCAAAGGGACTCAAATCCCAAGGGCTCCCTTCCAAGGCAGATCCACGTTCTCCATCACAAGGCTCTCGCTGGCCGGGATTCTTGAACAACTCCAGGTTTAATGGGCGTGTGTGCCTCCAAAGGGCATTTGAGGTGCTCTTGGGTGTCTCTCCGTGCTCCCAGCACCCTGATACCTGGCTGCTGGGGCTGTTCCCATCTCCCCTGATCGTGGGGGGAAGCCAGGTCTTGCTGCTCATGCTCTTTCTTACCTGTACTGGATCGTCTCTGACGTGGTCGAAGCTCGGAGCTTCGTCATGAGGATTCGGACGATGTTGAACAGAAAGATGAAGTTGATCTGGAAGGAAGAGGGTCGTGGTTGGTGTCTGCTGCCCCAGCATTCCCTCCCATTTCCTCAGCTGTGCCAGGGGAAATGGGAATGTTTCCTCCTGAACCTGATCCACTGCCTTCCCTGTCCTGTCCCTTTGTTGTTTCCAAAGCACTTCAGCAATAAGATTTTGGAGTCTGCCCGAGGGATCAGGGCACGCCAGGAGATTGGTGAGGCAGGACAAGTGTTAGGGGAAGGGCTGAAGGTGAAAAAGCTGGAGGGAGAGGAGGAATACGAGGCTGGGAGTTGCTGCCACCACAGCCAGGAGCTGCTTGGCTGCTCTCCCACCGCAGAATCGCTGATGAGGGCACGGGAAGGTGGCCCTGGAGCTGAGCACGACTGACTGACATTTATTAGCAGTGGCCTGGCCACCTGACAGGCTGGGAAATGGGAAGCAGGATCAATTATTCCAGGAGGAGGCTGGTGATCAGTCCTCCCTTGGGTGTTTTCAGCATAGTTTTGGGACCTTGTGCACGGCAAAACGCAGGTTGGACCCCCAGGCTGTGACCTGCCATGACTGCTCTTCTTTGCCCCTTCCCAAAAGGACAAAGTCCCAGCAAACTGTGCTCCCTGTGACCCCTGGGTCAAGCATCACAGCTCAGCCAGGAGCAAAGAGAGGTGGATCAGGGAATGGGGGTTGAGCTTCCCAGGCTTCTGCAAGTGCAGGGCACCCACCTGCACCCAAACATCCCCATCAGAGTGAGTGCTCCAGGCACATCCCAAGCCCAGATTTTTTTAGGGGAGCAGTTTGGGCGAGGGCAGTGCTGCTGTGGGGCAGCAGGAGCAGCCACAGCAGAGTGAAGCTAAAGGAGGGGGGCCAGACCCTGGTCAGGAGCAGCCATACCCCCCACCTGCAGGTGGAAGGACTCTGTATGCAGCCCAGGAGGTCACTTTTGCTCTTACCAGAAGCACCAGGATCATGGGGCCTTGGTAAATGTAGTCAGTGTAAACTCCTGCTCGCTTCCCAAACCAGCACCTGCAAGGCAAGGACAAGCAGTGCTGGGGCCAGGTGGTGTTGGGGGCTGACCTGGATTCACTCCTGTCCTTGCACAGTCTGTGGAAGTCGCTGTGTGTGGGGTGAAAGCCCCACAGCTCACGGTGCTGGAGCCCCTATGGAATAGCTTCCCCAGGGCTTGTGGGGGTGGTAATGGGCCCCACATGGATGTGGGAACTGGTTTTTGTTGGATAAGCAGGGATTGACTTCTTCATGAAGGATGGGATTGTCCCTCTCTGCCCCACTCTGGGGTGGCCTCATCTCGAGTCCCAGGGGAATTTGGGCACCACAAAGTAAGAAAGGTCTAAAGCTCTTAAAGGAGGGACAGGAAGGTGGTGAAAGATCTGCAGGGGCCCCATGAGGGGCAGCTGAGGGCACTTGGTGTGTTCAGCTGGAGAAGAGCAGACTCAGCTCAGACCTCACCAGGGTCTGCAGCTCCAATCTCTGCTCTGGGTGAGCAGGGACAGCACCCAGGGAAGGGCTGGAGCTGTGTCAGGGCAGGCTCAGGTTGGATCTCAGGGAAAGGTTCTTCCCCCAGAGGGTGGTTGGCACTGAACAGGCTCCCCAGGGCAGTGGGCACAGCCCCAAGGCTGCCAGAGCTCCAGGAGGGTTTGGATGATCCTCTGGGGCACAGGGTGGGACTCTTGGGGATGGTTCTGTGCAGGGCCAGGAGTTGGACTGGATGGTCCTGGTGGGTCCCTCCCAGCTCAGCATATTCTGTGACCTTGCACAGCTCTGGGTTGGCTCCATTCCCAGCACACCCTCTGGGGTCCCTGTCCTGGGAACACCTTGCTGGGGTTGTTAAATCAGTGCTGTGCCTGTGGGAGTAGCACAGGGCCTTGGGGGAGCAGAAAACGAGCTCTGGAAAACAGCCTTTCATCTCAACGGGCTCCTTTTCACTTCCCAGCCCAAGGCAGGAGCTCTCAGGTGCCTGTTAAAACCTTCATTTGCAGATGCCTGTGAAAATGGCCCGGGTGGGGGTAGTTCAGATCTCTGCTGGTTCAATCCCAGCTCCATTTAGCAAACCCATCATAGGAGCTGTGGTTTAATCTTACCTTTTTCCCCTAATAAAAATAAAATAATCTCATTTGCCTTTTGAGAAGAAACAAGCAGGAGGCAGAGGGGTGACCAAAGGTGGGATAAAAGAAAGAATGCAAGATTAATATCTTTTTTTTTCCTCCCTGCCAGAGCCCCTGGCACAACTGATCCCTGGGGGATTTGGGATGGAGAAGGGAACGGGGGGATGAAAAGCAACCAGGCTCACTTCTCATTGTCATAGTAGAGCTTCCCAATGGCCCAGGCCACGATGATGGGGAAGGGGATACCTGCAAGGGAAACGCTCAGGTGAGTCAACATCACCAAATCCCGCTGCACCAGGGGCTTTCCCACCCCCCCACCACTCACTGAGGCCAAGTGCCCGTGAAAATCCCACCCTCCCGCTCCTGGCAGCTGTTTGGGTGCAAGAAGAGGAGCAGGGGAGGGGTGGAGGGGGTGCCCTGGGACTCACACCAGCCGATGCAGATGAACATCCACTTGCGGAGCTTGTCCGTGGAGTAGGTGAGGACGATGGCCGTGTGCAGGTAACAGCCCTCCCCAAACATCCAGAAGAAGTTGGTGACGTGGAAGTAGTTGTAGGCAGCAGTGACCAGGCGGCACCAGACCTGCCAAGGAGGGAGATGTGGGGCCTCTGGAGCTCTGGGTTGCAGTGGTGAAGCCCGAGTGCACCAGCAGAGGAGCTGAACCTGTGATTCTCACATGCCTGGGTTGTCCCCCAGCCACCACACTGCCCCATTTGTCCCCTGATGTTGCTTTTGTAGCCTCACCTTAAAGGCTTCCAACTGACAGAGAGGAGATTTAGGTGGGATATCGGGAAGAAATTGTCCCCTGGGAGGGTGGGCAGGCCCTGGCACGGGTTGCCCAGAGAAGCTGTGCCTACCCCTGAATCCCTGGAAGCGTCCAAGGCCGGGTTGGACGGGGCTTGGAGCAACCTGGGCTGGTGGGAAGTGTCCCTTCCAACCCAAAGCACTCCTGTGATGCTCTGATCTCAGGATCCCCTCACTCCCCACCCCACAATCCCCCCCAGCTGCTGAGGACTGGGCTGAGCCCAGCAGAGCTGCACCCACCACGTTGCTCTCGTGCACCTCGGGGTTCATGGTGAGCTGCACCACGAACCAGGTGGCGTTGCGCAGGATGAAGGCCGTGATCAGGTTCCAGTGGATGATGTTCCTCAGGCACCGGATGCTCCTGGAGAGGGGTGGAAGGAGGCACCATCAGAGCTCGGGGAGGGGGCTGGTTGGGACCCCGAGGGCGACCTGCTGGGGCCATGCCCTGGGTGAGGTGGGCAGGAGGAAGGCCGGGAGGGGGGATGGCACCGAGGAGCACCCTCTGCCTCCAGAACCAGGTGCTTTCAAAGGAGGAAAGCAGCCCTGAGGTAGGCATGGTCCCATCCCTGCCTGAAGTGACCCCTGTGGGCTCGTCCCCCCAGCAGGGACACGTTTGTGTCACTCACCTCAGGCGCATGAAGAGCACAAAGGCCACCAGGAGGGCCCCCAGCGAGACGCAGTGCCCCAGGTAGTTGATGATGACAGCGATGTGGTAGTGCAGCTTGCTCTTCTTCTGGGGAGGGGACACACGGGGAGGGGGGGTCAGCAGCAGCCACGACAGCACCACAAACCCCCCTCCTCCACCACGTCACCTGTGGGAGCTGCACTGTGAATTTGGGGTCACTTTTCGGCAGTCAAAGGGAGCTCCCCTGGGGCAGGACAGGGATGGAAGGGGGTGGGGGTAGCATGGACAGGGGAGGCACCAGCCTGGTTTCACATCCCAGTCCTGCCAGGGCCACTCACTGCCCGGGACACTCACATCCCCAGCCCATCCTCTGGGGAAACCCTGCTGGGATCGAGCTGAACTCGCTGCAATCTGATGTCTCAGTTCATCCCCCCCACTGCCCTGGGGGCAGCTGAGAGGCTGGGATGAATTTGGGCAGAGGGAAGGTGTGAGTGATAATTAAATTAATTGATCGCTCCTGCTGTTGGGCGCTCATCCAACCTGTGAATTAGCAATTAACTGAGTGAGAAAACCATTCCTGGCAAGAGTTATCAGCATCTTAAATACCAGAGGTGGTATCAGCTGCAAATGAACAGCCCTTATCTCTTCCCCTCTGCTCTGAGGGGTGGCTCGACCTGCTCAGGGGCTTGTAATTCTTGATCCCTGATTTTTATACCTCTCAGCTTCCTAAAAAATCTCCTTTATTTCATTACCAGCAGGGCAGGACGGGGTTTGCCCTTAGTGCGGTGTCAGGAGGGTGATGGGGCTGAAGGACCTGCTAATCTGTGCCCAGACCCCTGGAGACCACACCCTGCCAACTCCCTGGGATTTTTAATGAGGATGGAAACAGGCTTTATTTGACAGGGAATACAAATCCCGATGAAGCAGGGGGGTCATCGCTGCCACCCGCAGCCTCCGCTCTGGGATGCTGAATACTCAGAGCTCCCACTGGGCATTCCTGACCCAGATCTGCTGCCTCTCCAAACTCCCCCCTTCAGGGAGTGCCTCCCCCAAGGTCCTACCTCTTCACTGAGGATCTCCTGGCACTGGGAGTAGTTGACCCGGGCTGCCCAGCTCCCGTTGGCGAGGCACTCCCTGTAGCCATTGTCTGCAAGAGAGGGATGCCTCAAAGTAGGAGAAAGAAATCTCTGCCCTATTTGGAGCATTAAAAGGCAAAAAGCACCCCCTGAGGTGCACAGGGCTTCACAATTTTACCCCAGCACCTAATGATGCTAATGGCAATATTCAGATTCTAATTGCAGTATTTGGACATTACACCCCGTTCCAAAACTCTCCCTCCCACGGCACACCCTGACAGGGGCCTCCTGAATTTGAGTCCATCTCTTCATCTTCTCTTCCTCATCCTCACACCTTCTGGAATGGTTTCAAGGCTCCTCAGTAGCTTTGACTGGTTATATCAGGTGTTATCTCTCTTCCTCAGTATATTTTTCACCTTTTACCTCATTAAAAACCCTTTCTGCGTTCGAAATCCTTAACAAAGAATGAGAACACTGCATTTTAGGAATTCTGTAAAGCTGCAGTAAAATGTATATAATACAGATTTTATGGCTACAAGAGGGTGAGCATCCCAGAGCTGAGGGGGTGTGGGGATGGGCACGGGGATGTGACCTGACTCTTGCCACTGGCACGGGGACGGTGACACCCTTTTCTCTGAAGGCAGCTCACTCACTGGCAGAACCAAAAACCCTTGGAATGTTTTCCCAGCCCTCTCCCACCACGTTCCCTGAGGATGCTGCCCCTCTTACTGGTGGTGTTGTACCGCACACCGTAGAAGAACTCGGGGCAGGGTCGGGCCACCAGCTGTCCCACGGCGCTGCGGGGCCAGCACGTCCCGATCAGATCCACGGAGGCATTGCACTGGGGGCCTGTGGGGACAAGGCCACGGGGTTACTGGGGGTTTCTGGGCCACCTCCAGGCCGGTGGAGGGTCGGGATGTGCCTGGGTGAGCTGAGGAGCTCGCCCCCACAAGACCCTCGTGGCCGACACCGAACGGGGTCTGTGCCAAGACTCCTGGCCATGGCTGCTACTCTGGTCTTGTCTAAATACCCAGATTAAGCCCAGTTCTGACCCAAGGCTGGTTTTAGACCTGGTTTCATGTCAGCTGGAGGTTTCCCTGGCTCTGGTCTTCCAGCCCTGCTCCTTCCTCCACCCAATGGCTTTGGCATCCAGCCCCACAACAGGCAACGAGCCAGAGTTTCTCTTCCCCCGGTGCTGACTCCAGCCTGGTTCTGCTGGGATGCTCCTCAGAGCATCCCTCCAACCCTCCCACATCTCCTGGCTTCAAACCCTCCTTCCCAGCCATTCCTGTTGGTCTCTTCCAGCCTTTTCCCGGGAAGTAAAACTCCAAATGTGCTGCTTCTATTTCAGATTTCAAGAAGGACTCGTGTGCTTTTCCCAGCTCCAACAAGTGTGCTAACGTAGGCATTAGGTAGGCCAGATTGCAGGCTTTTTTGTGTATAATTTGTATATATTTAGAACAACTTGTACTGTAGCTAAATATGTCCCTCCTCCATCTCCCAGCGAGGTAGGAAGCACCATGCCTGTAATATCCATATAATATGATCCCAGACAAGCAGCAGATGGGTGGGCAGGAGACACTGGAAGGGGCAGAGTTCAGCCCAAAGCACTCCTGGATACCAGAGATGTTTGTGCTGCTGGCACAAGGACAGGAATTACCATTTCCTAGGACAAAACATCCCAATTCACAGCTCCTTGTGAGGGCAAGAACGCAGCATTTCCTCTCCCCCAGAATTCATGGTTCCTGTTGGAATGCCTTTCCCAAAAAATCCTCTGCATGGAGCCTGCTAAAGGGTGACCAAAAGAATAAAATGCTGTGCTGTTAACACCATGGAGGTTTTTATGAAGGAATATCGTTATTTTTGGGACGTTCTCAGAGCAAATTTTCAGCACTTCCAAGTGTTTTCCTCAAACATCTTAGCGAGGGGAAACAACTTCCAAAGCATGTGAGACAGGGAAGCATCAGCGTGGTGAGTGTTACCTTCTGCCTCCCAGAGCTCGTGGGGAGAAATTAATTTTAACAATGACCTTTGCTTTTAAGCTTTGCTAATGTGTAGGGTTGCTGTGGCAACCTTGCCTTTAACTTAACTGTTTTAAGCCCCTATTTCATAGGAAACAAGGTGCCCTTAATCACGTGTGAGTGTCTGTGCCTTTTGCATCCATTTGCATTTATTGAGCTCAGTCGTTGTTTTGATCCAAATCTGACAGAGAAATGGAGGGTCACAGAGAGATGAAGTCCCTGTTTAAAATTTTATGGTTATGTTCAGCTGTATAACGAGAAAACAAGCTGTAATTGCTTCCACTTAAGGAAAAAGTTAAATTGCAAGTGCTCCCCCTGGGAGCCACCCAGGTGAGGGGCTGCTGGAATGTCTGGAATGGGAAAAGCACCACTTGGAATAACCCAGCACGGGGAAAGTGGGGATTGCACAGTGCTAATGCCCAGAGCAGCTCCCCCATCCTGGGACTGGTGGGGCTGAGCACAATAAAACTCCATTTTCTCCTCATCCCCTCGTGCCTCAGTTTCCCTCCTGCATCCCAGGGGCTGTGCTGGGGCCCAGACAGAGACTGCTTGGGGAGGAGAGCTGGGAATTAAGAGTCAGAGAGCAGCAAGGATGATGTTCTCCATCAGCAACGCCACGAATAACCAAACCCAGGATGAACCCGGGGAGATGAGGTGGCCAGACAGAGGAGGCGTCACCCTGTGACACATCTGCTCGAGGCTGGGTTTCATATCTCCAAGGGGCTTGATCTGATGCTGCGTGGCACTGTCAGGGCGTGACAGACACCCACCCACCAGGTGACAGAGCCGGGGGGTCCCACCGGTCCCACCACAGGGAAAGGTGGAGCAGCATCAGCATCACCCAACCCCCTCCTCATCCCACGGGTCAGGGCTGTGTGTTGTGGGGTGACACTGGGGTCAGGGGGTGCAGTCTGATGCTCCCCAGGCTGTGGGGTGCTGCTGGGACCTCACCCTGTGCTCAGCAGGCTTTGCCCATCCACGACCACCGGCAGCATTTCTGGGTCTGTCCCAGCAGTTTTTAAATCCAGTGGGTGGCTGGAATATTTTTCCCAGGCTCACCCTGAGAGATGCTCGGTGAAGAAAAGCTGCAGAAAGCAGAGGCTGCTCTTCCTGGCTCTCCCCAGCACGTGGGGAAGAGAAAAAACCACCCTTCTGCTGGGGAAGGGTTAAGTAAAACAGGTGAAGAGCTTGTGATGCTTGGAGATCCCCTCTGCTCCAGCTGCTCCCAGTGGCACGTGGCTCTCAGGGCTTGGAGCACTGTTTAGCATGGAAATTACATGTATCAGTGCTAAATTATTCCCTGGCTGCTCAGCAGCCCATCCCTGTTTGCAAGGGGATTATTCTCCTTCTCAGCTCTGTTGGCTGCACAGGTTTGGGCTTTGCAGATTTACAGCAGGAAGGGTCAAATGAATTTCCTACCTGCACTCAGTCCCCCTGATTTGGCTTCTTCCTACAAAAAACCATGGAATTTGGGGTAGGAGGGAGCTGGTCCTGCTTTGAATTCCCCTGCTTTTTGGGGAATGTGGCACAGGGGAAGTCACTCCAATCCCTTCTCACCCACCCCATTGCCTTTGGAAATACTGCAAGCAGTATAAGGCATTTACTTTCTTCTGAAGGAAAAAAAGTGCCTGTCCAGGGACTTTACACTGAGACAACTACATCACAATAACTGTCTCAGGATAACTGTAGCAATATCCCATCTGTTTACATAAAACCTCCTTTCTCCAGCCTGCTCCCAACGCTGGCAGAGGCCCCCGAGATGGCTGCGAGCTGAAGCCACACAAACCCCTGTGAATCCTGGCAGGGCAAAGCTCCCCAGCCCCAGCTCCACCTGCCAAAAGATCTGGAGCAAATTTAAAAGAGGATGGAGCGTGTTTATCCTGGGCCAGCACCACCAGACGCTCTTGAGCTGGTGCCAGGAGGTCTGGAGGGTTGTTGTGCCACCAGGCCGTTGCTGGGATGGCACGAAGAGGAGGAGGAAAGCAAAGGTTGTGGTGGTAAAACCCCGCTGGTAAACACATCCTCATCTCCCCTGGGCAAAGCTGTGCCCCAGTGCAGACTGTGCCCCATCTAGGGGCAATGGTGTGACTGGTCCAAGGGGGAAGCCTCCCCCTCCACAACCCTGCAACGCCAAGGAGCCAGCAGAGAGGATGGAAATCTGAATCACAGGCTCATTGCCGTGGTTGGGAGTGACGGGGTTATTTATCTAAGGTGTCTCCAGAGGCTGAGTAACAGCTGAACGTTGTTAACTCCTATCACTACCTGTCTGGAGCTCTTACTCAACCACAGTTATCTCTGTCCATCCCTGCTGTCCTCTGTGACTGCACTGAGGCTGCTGCCTCAGCCTCTGGCTCCCTCGGAGCGTCCCCTGGGTGTCTGCTGCAAGCATTTGCATTTGGCAATCAGGGCTTCATCTCCACATCTAATCAAGACACACTCCCTGCAGCGCAGGCACAAAGAGCTGTTTGTCCCTCCCAGGCAGCTCCACCACCCCGGTGGAGCAGAAAGAGCCATTTCACAGCTTATTGCCCCAAAACAAGGGCCTCTGGGGGGTATTTTTATCTCAAGGTGCTGATGTGCCAGGTAGGGGTGGTTCCATCCATCCTGTGGGGCTACTGGGGTGTTAAATGCTGAACAACACCTTGAAGCATTGAGGAGAATGGCATTGGGGGACAATTTATGTTGAGATGGGGTAGGATTGGGGTGGTGGAGCTGCTTGCCTTCCCTCTGAGGTAGGGAAGGCCTCAGGATGGTTGGGAGCAGCTCAAAATACATCCTTGCTCACACTCTACTTGCAGCACTGCTTTTGGTGGCCGTGGGTGCTTCTGTTTACCTTTGTAAGACTCCAGTCCTTAAAAAATCCCCAGCAGTCCTCCCAAGCACTTCAAGTTTCCACCCTTCTCCACGAGAAATAATTACCCAGGCTAATTAAATGTCATGACAGCAAAGTGTCTTCGTAATGAATTTTTGACTTGTTGCTATTTACCATCCATGTCTGTCCCCTCGAGTCTTTGCTGCTGCTCTGGGGAAGAATAAACAGGAGTCACCAAACCTGGCTTGTGCTGTTGGTATCTGATGCATCTGCTCCATGTTGTCACTTCAGACTGATCCATGAACAGCTTTACAGCATGTAAATTTACTGAATGTAAAATGTGGAGGGTTTGGTTTGGGGTGTATCACGTTCTCCTGATATGACCCACAGAGCGGTTGGAGTTTGTGTTATAACCAAGGGTGGCAGCAAGTGGTTTGTTCCCTGGTTTTGGCTGGGATTTGGTGGTGGGTGAGAGAAGCAGCACAGTCCCTCCCTGGCAGAGAGTTTTCCTAACAGAGCCTTCTAGTTTGGCTAACACTGCACAGAGCAGCTGGCAAGGACTTCACTGCAGCCCGTGCAAAGTGCAGTTTAACTGCTGTAGCTGCTGCTCAGGCTGGGCTGTGCCAGGACACCAGAAAACCTCATCATCTTCCCTCCTCCACTACAGTAAAATCTGTGGATATCAGGGAGTTGCTGTTGCCATCCCTGTTTCCCAGATGATGGAGCAGGTGGCTTTATCAATGCCAGTAGACACTTAAACCACTATAATGTTCCATATAGGGTATTTTCCCATTTTTTTGGTTCCCAGACCAAGTCTCATGTCCCTCCTTCAATCCCTGCCAGGACTCATTGCTGCCTCTTTAGCCCCTGCTCAGCTCCTTTATGAATATTTCTGCCTCAGTGGGAGAGATGCCAACGAGGCTGAAGGGAGAAGAGGGGCTGATCCTGTTAATGTGACCTTTATGAATTTAAATTCCAGTCTCACCCCAGGGGAGCCAGGGAGTGAATGGAAGAGCAGCGGCACGAGAGCTGCTGGAGCAGCGTCAGCGCTTTGGGGGAGCTGAGCTGGAGTGGGTGGAAAAGCTCTTGGTCAAACTTGTCACCCGCTGGGAAAGGTGTTACCAAACCTGTCTGATGAAGTGCCTGCGAGGGAAATGTTCTCATCACTCGCTGCTCCTCAGCCACAGGGTTTTGCTGCGTCTGGACCAATTAAATTTGCTTTATTTAATGCAAAGCTACGCTCCATTTCCCCCTTGAAAAAACCTCCAGTTATTAAGAAAAAAAGAAAAACAAAACCAAAAAAACAACAAAACAAACCTAGAGGTTTCTTTTCAGTTCTGCCTCGCCGTGGTGTCATTTTCCTTGGCTTTAGGTGAACTTGCAGTGGCAGGAAACGTTTCTTTGCTGAGGAGGAATTGCCTGCACTCCCCTCTCCCTCCTGAGCAGGCACACGGGCCCCAGGGTAAGAATTTATTGTGGTAACAGGCTTAAAGGAGTGGATCACACAACAGCACAGGACCAGACAGGGATATTGGCAATTGGGTGGCAACTCCTTGGGCTGAGCCAGGCTCCAGAGCTCCGAACAGCAAAACAACCGCCCGAGCGCTCCGAGCGCGCTCCGCTCGAGCAATTCCTGCCGAGCTGCTTCGGAAAAACCTCAGCATTAATTAGGAAGAGGCTTCCCCATCTGCCCAGATTCCCCTCCCTTCCCCAGGGAAGCCATCCTGCAGCTGCAGGGGGATTGCTTTGCCCCTCGATGATGAAATGACCTTGGCCCTCCCCGGCGGGTTTGGCGGCAGGGCGGGAGGCAGCTGCGCGCAGACCCCGGGGAGATACAACCATCAGCCAGACAAATTCCGGGAATGTGCGGGCTGGGAGCCCTCGGGACAGCACCCATCCACCCCAGAGCAGGGGTGCTGATCCTCGCTGTGGTCCTTTTCAAGCCTGAGCTGGGAATTTCTTGGCTTCCAGGTGGCTGGGGGTGCAGCAGATCCTGCTGTCCAGCCTGACATTCCTGCCTCGCTGCTCCTGTGGGAGGCAGCTTTCTGATGGAGTGTCCACCTGTGTGTGGGTGCCCTGGCCAGGATCAGGGGCTCACCAAGAGGTGTTTTTGATGGATACCTAAAATATCAAGTTGGAACAGGCAGCCCAGGGACATCACCCTGCTCTGGGGACTTGGAGAAGATGGGTAAATCCATGGTGACAAGAGGGTAGGACAGCAGAGCTCTTTGGGGCTCAGCTGCTCCACTTTCTAGGATGAGGGTTTGCTTGCCCTGCCTGAACCTGGAGATCATCACCCCAGTCTGCCTCCACCCCACTGCTGTAGCAGAGACCTCTCCAGCTCGGTGCACGTGTCCCAGGGAGTGCTGGCACCCTGTTGACACCACTGGCCAGCCACACATCCCCCTCCAAACCTGTGGGATCAAGTAATGAAGGGACTGGTGGCCTGGGGGAGGAGGAGAGGCCACGCTGGGCTGTTTTTCAGAAGAGGGATGGCACACACAACGGGCACAAGGCACTGCCCCTCTGTGCATCCAACAGATCCCCCACCGAGCCCTGCGCTGGGCACCCCTGGGCTCGTGTTCTCAGCACGTGCCACTTCCCAAGGGCTGTGCAGACATTCACAAATGAAGTCTCGTGGCCTCTCAAGAGGCAATTCTCATTAGCATCATCCCAACAAGCTCTCCATGTTAAAACAGCCTCCAAACAAAGTTCCCAGTTGTGTAAACATCCCTCTGTAGGAATCTCTGCCTCCACCAGGCTGGGCTTAAATGGACCCCAAGGAGCGGGGCTGGTGCTGAGCTCCGCTTACCACACAGACAGAAGACAATTAGTTCATCTCTGCCTCTTGTTCTGAGCCCCCTCCTGCAGCTGGAAGTGTCTCTCCTGTGTGCCAGCCCCATCCCAAATTAATGAGCTGCTCAGGGATGGCAGGTCGGGTGCGTGGAGCTGATGGACATTTTGCAGATTTGAAGCCTGACAAGTTGTCCCCTGTGCCAGAGTGATGGGCACTGAGGCGCACTAAATCCTGCCTGGAATCATGCTGATAAATGCCCACTGAGCAGAGCCCAGTCCTTGCAGAAAGCAGCTCTCACTGCCTGGGGATGGTGGTGATTTCTGCAGGGCAAATCCATCAGCAAACCACGGCAGAAATTCCCCTCCCTCTCTGCCCTCTCCTCCCTGGGCTCGGGAGGTTCCAGCAGCAGGTGGAAAAGGCCATGAGGATTCTCTGGGACCTGCCTGCTGCCCTGGGTCAGCATTTATCACAGCCTAACACAGCCAAGGACAGCACTTCCAACCAGCAGAGTGATGAAACCTTCGGGGAGCAAAGCACATGAGTGATGGATGACCAGGTTTCCTGAGCAGACACCCAACCACTGCCATTCTCTCCCCAGGCTTTCTGCCTCCACCTCCTGGGATCTGGGATGCTCCTTGCAGGGCTCTGTGGTGGCCTGGGCTTGACCAGGCACTGAATCAGCTGGTGCCAAGCTGTGATTTGTTAAGAAGGAGTTTGTAATGCTGCTGTTAACAGGAGCTGGGTGGTGGGCAGCCATCCATCAGGGCTGGGTGCCCGTGGCTATCTGTCACCCTGCTGGCTCTGGTCATCATTCCATCATGGGAAAACAAACCCTGCAGCATCCCTGAGCTGGGGAGGACTTTCCTCCTTGTCCCTGTGAGCTCCTCATCTCTCTCTCACCTCTCCTCCCCCAAAACCTGTCACTGAACCAGACCTGGCACTGCTGAGGTGACATCCAAGTCACATCCTGAATACAGGTTTAAAAGCCACTTTTGGCACAAGCCCTGACCTGATGCAAACCCAAGGACAATGTTGAGGAGGAATGAGCTGCTCATGACCCTGCTGCTGCCACCCAGCTCAGCTGAGCCAGCCCTGGCCATGGCCACGTCCCCAGAAGCTCCTCGTGGCTGGTGACCTCCCAAAAAGCTCAGTGGCACATGTCTAGGAGTGCTGGGGATGGAGGGTGGCACTTGGTGGCCACACTGTGCTGGTGACATGATCTCCACGGAAAGTCACAACCTCCAACCACCAGCCCTGGGCAGGGGGGGTGGACACAGGGGACAAAGGTGTCCCTGGGCATGGCAGAGAATGGGCATTGAGGGAGCAAGGGCTGGACAGATGTCTCTTTGCCCCCTTCCCCCTAAAGCCCAGCCCAACAGACATTTCTTTTCCCTGTTTTCAGCTCTCCTGAGCTCTGCATGTTCCTACCTGCCTCGAGTGTCACCCCGCAAGGAGGCTGCTGCAGCAGCCACACGGGGCTGTGACATCCTCAGCACACCCCACCTCCCCCAAAAAAGGGTCCAGGCAGCTGCAGATCTGCCCAGAGACACCCCTCCAACACCCTCTTCCAGCCATGGCCAGCACTGGGGTGTGCTGGGCCGGGGCACTCACCAGAGTGGTTGGTGGCAGGTGCCAGGCTCTCGCAGTACTGCTCCTGGATGGAGGCTGCAGCCCGGCTGTCCCCGAGGAGAAACACCTGCATGGGGAGAGAGCAGACCCCAGGCAGGGTTACATGGGCAATGTGCTGCTCCCCCAGCCCCACAATCCCTCCCTGGGTCGGATCTGAGCCTGGCTTGGTGGGTGCCACCCCCACAGCGGACACACATCCACGGGCAGGATGGATTCCCGGGGAGCTGAGCTCATCCAAACCTCTCTGCTTTGTTTCCCACCCCCTGATCCCTTCCTGCCCTGCACTCCCCTCCTCAGCAAACCCTGCTGTTTAGCATTTTCATCAGCGCTGTTGGTGTTTTTTTTTGCATCTCCAAATCCTGGGAGCAGACAGGGGGAACATGACGAGCCTGACACGGCGCTCGGATTTGCGATCCCTTATTGAAATCACAGCCTTGTAAGCTGTCAGTGGGAAGATGTTCAAACACGTCCTTAAGGAGATCAGATCCACACACAACCAGGGCTGCTAAAGCCTTTTTTTTTTTTTTTTATTTTTTTTTTGGAGGAGAATTGTCAGCAGGCACCAACATTCCCATTGTGTCGGGAAGAACTGATCAGGATCTATCCCTGCTGCTCTGCTAAAAGTGAAAACCATCAGCTCTGGGCACGGGGAGCTATTTTGGAAAAACGGCTATTGAATTATCGTGCCTTTGCAGGAGTTTGGGGAAACTAAAAGCAAGAAAGGGAATTGCAGGGACGAAGGGATTGTGAGCACCCAGGGAGGGTGCTGTGATTCCCAGTCCTCACTGGGGAGGGAGGGGACCTGGTGCTTGGAAGAACACAGATTTCTATCTGACCAGCTGCACACTTTCTCCTCTGGCTCAGTCACAGGTTTGTCCCCTCTGCTCAGCGGATGGGGCTGATGGATGAGGCTGAGCTCCACTTCTTTCACCTTCCCTGCAAGGACTGACCAAACCCCCTGGAGAAAACCCACTGACAGAGAGGCAGAGCTGTGCCCCAAAATACACCACTCACAGATCCCTTGGGAAAAGCCCCGAGCCTGGAGGCAGGAAGGGCTGCACCTCCTCTGCTTGCAGGTGACCTCCCATCTCCTTAGGGTGGGAGGGTTGGATGCCATCCCATATGGAAGCAATGCCATGACAACAACCTTCACCTCTCCCATCAGCCAGGTTGGTCCCTAGTGCCTGATCCCCCCTTCCCAAGTGCCATTTAACTCCCAAACTGCTCTGAGCAGGGAGAAGACATTCCTCCTCCTGCCCTTCAGCCTTAGAAACACTGTCAGCTCTGGCTGGCACACCCAGCCATCCCCGGGCCTTACCAAAGCATTAGCAAGATTTATTCAGACATGCAGACAAAGCTCAGCACCCACTTGCTCTTTTCCAAACAACTGTTTGCTGCCTTGGGAAGCTGCTTTTGTCAGCGAGAGAGATGTCAGGTAGAAATGGAGCTGAGAGGAGCTCCCTTGTCGTGACTGCTGCAGATGGCACAGGGGGTCCAGGAGCTTAAACCCTGCCCCAAGAGCTGCATGGAGCTCCTGGGGTGCTGGTCCTGCAGGAGCCCAGCACCTCCTGTGCCTCCTTTCTGACAGCTGAGACCACCCAAGCTGCAGAAGTGGAGTGAACGAGGTGCAGGGGGTCTGCTCCCCTCTGTTCCCCTCTGCCTTGGCGTGCACAGCTCGTGCCCGACAGAGCCGGTGGCTCTTTGTGCAGGTGGCTGGGACAAAAGGCTTCGTCCCAAAAGGGGCTGGGATGGTCTGCCTACCTGAGCAGGCTCTCAAGTGTTAATTGGATGTGTTTCTCCTAATCACAGCCTGCTCCAGCCTGGCAGTGCCCCGTTCTCCTGCCAGACACAGGGAGAGGTCTTGGCACTGAGCAGCACATGGACCGAGCTCCAGCTCTGGAGGGGTGTGGATGGAGCTCAGTGGATGGCTCTTTGCAGGCTTTGCAAACGAGCTGAAACAGCTACAGAAGGCAGAAAGAAAGGGGGAAAAAAAAAAAATGTTCCCCCAAACCAGAACAAATGCTAAGAGCTTTTTTTGCTTGCTGCAGTGTGGCCAAAGCCCTCGACAGAGGTTTTGTCCCGCTCCTGCCAGCCCATCGAGGGGGATGAGCTGGGGGAAGTGGCACCTGCAGGGGGGATCTGCCCCAGCCAAACCCACCCTGATCAGGCACCAGGCGGTCGGGGTCTCGTCTGTTTTGCTCTTTGTGGGTTCCTGCACCCCCCTCCCACGCTTTGCAGAGAGAGCAGGTCAAAGCTCTGTCCTTGAAGAGCTTCTCCTGCCAGCCCATCGCTGCCGTAAGATGCCACCTGGCTCCCAGCAGGGCCCGGCCCGAGCCAAGCTCACCTCAACAGCCCCGGCACGGCGGTGGGTCCAGAGAGGGGCCACGTCCCTCTGCCCTCCCAGCCCCTCCAAACCCTGCTCTGCAGTGAGGAGCTCTCCCTGACCCCTCTCAGGCTGCCAAAATCCTGGAGAGCTCCAGCTGAGTGCTCAGCTGCCCAGGAAGGAAGGCAATCTGCTCTTCCAGGAGCTTTGCACCGAGGTCCCAGTCAGCCCTGGGAGCTGCATGGGCCCCAAGAGGGGGGCAGCAGCTTCTCCTCCATCAGGAGACACCAATGTCTCCTCTGCTGTTGCCTCAGCATCCACCCAGCTCCCTTCCAGGCTCTGCTGACGTCCCTGTTTCACACACAGCAGATGCTGAGGGTGCTGGTTTAACCTCAAACCTCATGGAGCACCAGCTCCTTCCTTTCAGCCCCACATTTTCTGCAGCAGGACCAGCCAGTCCTCCCTGCACGGCTCAGACACCAAAACCTGACACTGCTGACGTGTTGGCTGCATCCCACCCACGGCAAACACCCACTGTGGTCCATGTCCCACCACCCACCAGAAGGGAAACTGAGGTGCTGAGGAACATCTACCTCAGGTCTCTCAGCCTGTGGGGCAGGTCACTCCGATCTGGATGCACCAGCCATGTCCAGGGCTCCAAAAAAACCCACTGTATTTCTTGGCAGGTCCCCTGGGCCAGGAGATGCAGCACAGTCACACACACACACAGAGCCTTCTGTGACCTGCCACTGACCTGGCAGCAACATTCAATTAATAACAATTAGGAATTAATAGCCCCCTGCAGCGCTTTCCCTCTCCAAAGCAATCCATGGATATTAATTAATACATTCACATCCGACTCGGGTGTCACCCCCCAGAGCCAGGCCTGTCCTCCCCCCCTGCCTGGTGTCTTACTGCCTCAGACAAGATGGGATGTGCGTGGCAGGGAGGGCTGGCAGCTCTGAGCAGCCAGAGAGATGGCTCTGAGCCTAATTAGCAATCCAGGATGGGGCTTGGGCTTCCCACTGCCGGCGGTGCTGGAATCCCAGAGCCCGGCGATCCGTGGGATGGAGCGGCACGAGCCAGCGGCTTTGCACGGGGCTGGGGAGATCAGTGGGGCTGGGAGGGTTCAAACCAGCCACCCTGGAGCTGTCCTTGCTGTAGGAACCTTTGTCACCCATCAGTTCTGCTCCCCCAGCTTGGTGTGGAACGGGAAAGACTTCCCGGGCCACTCCGGGGAAGGGCTGAGCAGCCACTGCCCTGGGCCTTTGTGAGGTTCCCCGGGGCATTAGGCTGGGATGGAGCCTGCCCTTGGCTCTGAGCCTGCAGGAGGAGGTGCCAGACTTTGGGTGTTAAATACAGGGAGCGTTAAAAGAGCTGGATGCCAACCTGGGGTGGCAGAGCAGTGGCCACAGCCATCGCTGGAGGTGGCCTGGCTGAAGGGGCTGCCCCTCAAATGTGCTGGGAGGTGTTCAGGGTATCTCCAGCCCTGCCTGTCCCCTGCCCTCACTCTGGAAAGCATCCCTTTGTCTTCTGCAGCTGGAGACCTTCTTCCCTCCCCCAGCTCCAGGGCTTTCCCTTGGAAAAGTCCCATCCTCAGTCCAAGCCACGAGTGAAGCCCCCAGGGAGCATCTGACCCATGGAAGACCCCCTTTACACCCCTGTCCTGGAGCTGGCAGTGACACCCCCATGATCTCAGGGTTCCTCTGAGCCTCCTGGTGCAGTACCCAGCCCAAAACCCCATCCCAAACCCTGCCAGCATCGAGGCAAAGCTCAGGCAGAGAAGGAGGCTCAAAGCAAGAGCCACAGGGGGATGTTCCCCAGCTGATGATACTCAGGGGAAGAGCAGCAGTGAGAACGCCTCCATCTGGCACTAAAATCTGTGAGTTTATTAATTTACCCATATTTAGAGGGCCAGTCCCCGTGGTGTGTAGACAAGAGGCTTTGGGGAGAGTATTTATTCTGCTTGGGAGTCTCTCTCTGAGTGTGCTGGATGCAGATCCTAACAAAAGAATATCAATCAGGGCTAAATGAATGCCCTGTAAAAGCTGATTTATGAGCAATTAAAGGTTTTCCTGGATTAAGCTCTGGTCTCCCTCTCTTGCCATAAATAATTCTGACTTCATTTGTCTCTCAAGAGAGACATGGATTTTTGGGGACAGGTGGAAAAATGACTAATGGCATTTGGGTGCTGGAAGCTAAAGGCACAAACAAGCTGGGGAAGGGCACACAATCCAGGTGGCTCCTATGGGATCTGGATTTTCCAAGGCAAAGGCTGCTATGGAAGAGCTGGAGTGATGGACACAAGCATGAGAAAGGGCTGTTTTTCTCAGGTGGTTGTATGAAACTCTCCTGCAGATTGTACATGTGGAACTCACATGCATTCACAGTATTTTCAATTTGGGATTGGAGATTTTTTTTTCCTCAGCTGCCCCCCAAAATCTCACCCCCCTCTCCCTTCACCCATCACCCTTTTAGGGTCGTACCCAGGATGGGGGGGAGAATCCACAATTTAATTCACCCCTCATTTTCTCCCCGTTTGTTTGCATTCACAGCTCGGGAAAACTTGGCCACACCAAAGCTGCATCTGCCATTGCTTTTCCAGGGTGGATAGTGCAGGATTTCAGGGAAGATTTTGGGGGGGAAAGAGGGACTGGGATCTGCCAAACGCCAACCCCCTTTGCCCTCTGCCATGGGAGTGGAGGTGATTGCTGCTGGGTGGGTGCCTGTGGGTAAAGCAGGACACCCTGCAGAGAAGGAGGGTCTCTCCATCAGCTCAGAATACAGTCAGGGAGAAGGAAAAACAACAGATGGGCCCCTGGGTATGTTATTGCATCTTCAGCAAGAGCCACCCGCTCGTGAGTGACAGCTCCCAGCGTTGGACAGCAGCTCCTGGGCTCTGCCTGGAGAGGGAACCCCGGGTTTTGGGAGGTTGATCTGTGCTTTCTTTGGGTTCAAAAGCTGTTCTCCCAGATAAAACCATGGGATCAGCCTCTCTCTCAGTGCTGCAGACTGGGATCTCAGCTTGAGCTTGTCGCTGGCAACAAACTTCTGAGCCAGCCCTGGGCAGGGTTCCGGGGGGGCAGAGCTGGATTTCAGGGCAGGGTTGGGCTGGTGGTGCAGGATATTCTCATCCTATTCCTATATATTCCTCCTATGGTGACAGAGCAGCTATTCTGGGAACAGGCTGTGCCTTTTCCATTCACTTCTTCGCTGGAGAGGCGAAACCACAGGGATGATTTCATCCACACTGAATCAACTCCAGCCTGCAAGGGAGAGCAGGACTGGGAGAGATCCCCAGGGTCAGCACGTCCTGCCACTGCAGCTCCACATCTTATGCAAGGATTGGAGCAGGGAAGGGATCAGGGGGCTGGTTTTGGGGCTTCTGGCTGCTGGAGCTGATCAAGGGCGAGGGGTAAAAAAACCATCCCACCCCTCAGCATCCAACTCTGCTTTTGCATGAAATGCTTCTGCAGTTTTTCCAGCCCCAGAAATGTCATCAGCTCCCGACAGAGCTGCAGGTGAACTGGTTTATTTGAGTCACTTTTTTTTTTTTTAGTTTGTTTAAATGACTTGCAGGGTGCCAGGGAGCGTTTTGCAGCAAGTTTGGCTGCCTGTTCTCCTGCTCTGACTGTCTGACCCCCCTTTCCCCCCCAAGGGATGTCCACCCAGCAAGGCAAGGTGGGCAGTTTGATGCTGAACTGGAGCTGCTGGACAGGTGCACGGGGAACACCCAAACTGTGCCAAGCCAGGGACCTGCAGGATGCAAAATCCATCCAGGCAGGGGAGATTTGTCCCTGCTGAGCTCTGCTGAGCTGGAATGCTGCAGGTCTCTGCACTCACAGGCTGGAGGCTGCTGCAGGTACACCTGGCTGCTGCAGGGCTCTGCTCACTGAAGGCTGGAGTTCCAAGCTCCTTTAGCCCCTGCTGTCCCCAGGAGAGGGTTGGGATTGTTCTGGAATAGGGTCTGGATTTTGAAGCCATGTGTTTATAGGAAAAAACAGACAGCTGGTCTGCAAGGAGTGGGGGTATGAAGATTGAGTGTTTCTTCTTGGAGCCAGCTGGGAGAGGCTTCTCTTTCCTTGGGCTGGTTTTTGGGACCCCCTCCCTGGCCCAGCCCCAGCACAGGGATGGTTTTGCCTCAAACCCGGGAAGCTTTTCGAGGATTTGGTGCTCCCTCTTCCCCAGGAGCCCATCCTTGGGGAATACCTCAGGATGCCCAGGGAATCCCCTGAGCCTGAGGAGGTTCTACCAGAGGTTGGGAGCTGTGTCTCAGCACCTCTGCGGAGTTTTTAGGACCCTTTTTGCTCACCCAGAAGCTGTGAGGTGCTGTCAGGCTCTCTTGGCTCTCCCCACGAGAACCTGCCCCTGTTGCAGGTCTGTGCTGTCCCCACAGACTGGCCAAGAAGGACCAGGGAGAGAAGAGATCCTGCCCTGTCTCACCTTCATTTCTTACATCAGAGCCAAACAAAACCTGAACAAAGCCAAACAAACAAAACCGGGGCATATCAGCACAAAAGAGCTCCTGCAAATCAGGCTTAGGGGGCTGCAGTGATAGGAGGGAGCTTTCAAAAGCAACACCAACTTGGCAGGGAGGTCTCCTGGGGCTTATCAGCTCCTCTCATCACTTGGGGGAGAACTTTCCTGTCCCAGAGGGGCAGTTGATGCTTCCCCTGCTTGTGATGCCCAGTGGGGTGCCCGGTGGGCACAGCCTGAGGGGTGGGAGCCACGGAGGGCTGACCCTCTGCTTTCCCTGCCCTTTTAACCCTGCAGCCACAACCGGGCCACTCAGACACCATTCTACAGCCAGCCAGGCAGGTTTTCTCTTTTATCTCCCTTTAACACAGAGGCTTAAGTCAAAAACCCTGATCATTTTTCGCTGCCTCCGTAAGGTTTGTCCAAACAATATTCAAGATTTCACCGGAAACCTCTTCACCTCCTTTGCCCGGGGTTTGGGATTTCAGCGTGCTTTGGGCTGGGAACGTTTCCTCTCCCGATGAGCCCTGGAGGAGGAGGAGGAGGAGGAGGAATATCGCTCCTGACAAAGCAATTTGCATGTTGTGCAGAGCTGCAGAATTAGCAGCGGCTACACTTGCACAGCGAGCAGATGAGAGAGGAAAAAAAAGTCTTGTGCTTTGCCGGGAGGGAGGGCGAGGGAGGGCATAGGAGAGGTTTCCTCAGAAAACCAGTTACGGGGGGTACAATTAGAGCCACCCTGCACTCGTGCTGTCCCCATCCATCACACCCTCAGAGCGGCCACCCCCTGCCAGTAGCCTGGTGGCCGCTGGTGTCCCCGGGAGGTGCTGGCAGCGCTCGGGAGGATCTCCCTGCGGGTTCTTTTTCCCTCTTGAACGATCCTCTCACCGACTTTCATCCCCCTCGCCGCCGGTTTTGGGCACTGGCGAGCTCTTGCCGAGCCCCAGAGCCTCGAGGGGAGGAATTGTCCCGAGGGGGCTCTTTTTGTGGAGGTTTCTCTCCTCTTACTTTTTCCCTTCCCTCTAAGAAATGGGAAAGTCCCTGCGGGGAAGGCGAGCGGAGGGTGATGGGGAAGGGGCAGAAGGGCCCTTCTGGGAGAAGAGAACTTAAAAGCGCCTTACCTGCAGTCCTGACAAAGCAATTTGCATGTTGTGCAGAGCTGCAGAATTAGCAGCGGCTACACTTGCACAGCGAGCAGATGAGAGAGGAAAAAAAAGTCTTGTGCTTTGCCGGGAGGGAGGGCGAGGGAGGGCATAGGAGAGGTTTCCTCAGAAAACCAGTTACGGGGGGTACAATTAGAGCCACCCTGCACTCGTGCTGTCCCCATCCATCACACCCTCAGAGCTGCCACCCCCTGCCAGTAGCCTGGTGGCCGCTGGTGTCCCCGGGAGGTGCTGGCAGCGCTCGGGAGGATCTCCCTGCGGGTTCTTTTTCCCCCCTTGAACGATGCTCTCACCGACTTCAGCCCCCTCGCCGCAGGTTTTTGGGCACTGGCGAGCTCTTGCCGAGCCCCAGAGCCTCGATTGGAGGAATTGTCCCGAGGGGGCTCTTTTTGTGGAGGTTTCTCTCCTCTTACTTTTTCCCTTCCCTCTAAGAAATGGGAAAGTCCCTGCGGGGAAGGCGAGCGGAGGGTGATGGGGAAGGGGCAGAAGGGCCCTTCTGGGAGAAGAGAACTTAAAAGCGCCTTACCTGCAGCAGGAGGAGGAGGAGGAGGAGGGTAGGACGTGGGCTGGGCACCATCCTTAGCTGCCCCTGTGCCCAGCTCCCCGGGGCATGGCTGGCACCGGCCCCGCTCCCGCTGGGCTCCTTCTGCCGTCGGGGGGAAAATCCTTCGGGCGCAGGAGCGTGGAGGGTCCCCGCGGGTCCCTTTTGCTTCCCCTCCGCTCAGCGACCCCGCTCCTGCCTTTTATAACCTCCCCGGAGCCGGTGCTCCCGCTGCCCACCTTGCGGCTCGCCCGCCGATGGGCTGCATCCCTCCTCACCAGCCTCCCACTCCCCCCTCTCTCCCTCCCTCCTCCTCTTCCTCCTCCCCTTTTCCTTCCTCCACCTCCCCGGTGCCTTCCAAGTCTGTTTGAATTTTTTTTATTATTATTTTTTTTTTCACCCCTTCTCCTTTCTCCTTCCCTCCCTCAGCATCTCGAGCAGCAGAAACTTCCCACCGGCTCAGGGACCCCCGCCCGGCTCCCCCTGGATCGGGGTCTTCCCTCTGTGCCCCCGCACTCCCCTCGTGGGGAGTCTCTCCCCGTGGGGTCTCTCCTGTGTGTTTGGGGCTGCAATTTGTGGAAGGTGGGAGGGTATATATGTGAGGATTCGGCTCCGGGGGGTGTAGGTCCTTCACATGGCGGGGCTGGAGGGGGTCTTTTGATCGTAAAGGGGGGAACTGAGTCGTGGGGGAGGTGGAGGGGCTGCCGGGAGCGGGGTTTGTCTCCGGGGATGGTGATGGGAGGGGCAGGGGCGATGGGATGAGAGCAGGCAGGACTGAACTGATAAAGAGGAGCGGTGTTTTGGGGGACACGGGTTTTGGAGAGGGTGGGAAACACGCAGTGGGTGATGTGGGGGAGCCTGGATGATGCTCCTGAGGTCTTGGATAATGAGATTTCCCCTCCTCCTCCAGCCTAACCCGAGACCTTAAAGGGTCTCCTGTCACACCTCAGTGTCTCAGCTCCTGCCATGCCCTGGCAGCCTCCACCCTGGGCTCCTGGGGAGGGATCCCCCACATCCCGTGTCCCTTGGGGATGCCAGGACCAGCTTTGGGTCCAATCCCTGAGCTGGATCAACCTCTGGCTGGGTTAAACTCGTCGTGGTTCCTTCTTCCCCGGAGGAAATCAGGAGATCCAGGGTGTGCTGCTGGGAAGGGGATGGTGGAACACCATTGCCTTGGGGTCACCACACCCTGGGGGAACCTCAGTTGTTCCTCATCCTGGAGGGGGTGTGGGAGGGAGCAAAGATGTTTGTCTACCTGCTGCTGGTGCATCCACCACCAGCCTGTCACAGGGAGCTGGGTCAGGCTCCCAACCACAGCCTGTGCCTCTGGAGTGGCTGCAGCCCAGGGTGGATTGCAGACGGATCGATAGCAGGGCAGTGTCCCTTGATGGATTCCTGCCCACGGCCTCCATCCATCTTCTCAGAGCCACTTTGTGTCTCTGAAGCACTGGAGAGGGCAGGGGGTGAGCAAGGTCCCTCCTGACCTGCTGGACCAAGGCACAGGAACTGCACCCCAGCATGTGGGGGCATCCACTGACACCACCTCCACCCCCCTCCCAGGCCCTGTAATTAAAGGGAATAAACAACACAGCCAAAAATCTTCAGGCATTGGTGGGGTTTAATCAATTGTGTCTCTGCTTTGGCAAAGAAGTTTGAAAACATGTAAAGCTGTGGTAAATTTGGGAAACTCTTTGTTCCTTAGGTCTCTTAACACCCCTCCCCTGCCAAGTGACGGGATGGGACAGACTCCAGAGCCGCCTCTGTGTTACCTTTCACTTCAAAAAGCCCAATGGAAAACGGAAAACTTTCCAAAAAGGGCTTGAGAAAGCTCCCACCCACCCCCCTTGAGCAGCCTGTATTCATCCAAGTAAATCATAGGATCATGGGAATGGTTTGGGCTGTCCCTCTGCCATGGGAAGGGACAACTTCTACTGTCATGGGTTTAGGACACAGCTCCACACTCTGGTTTTGGGGGGCTGCTCAGGGCACCATCTCAGCCTACCCATGGCCACCAAGAGGGATGTGTGTGATGGCCACACTCTCCTCAGGTGCCCAAAGTGGGAGGTGATGTGGGAAAAGCAAGAGGGAACACCCACTATTTTTAGTCAAGGAATTGGTTGCCAGGGACATGAAGATAATTCCTTCCCCATATATCAGGGAAAAGGCTGAGGTGCTGTTTTGAAGGGCCTAATTGAGGGGATTTATAGTAAAATGCAACTTGTCAGATGTGGCAAAGGAAAAATAAAACAGTCCCTGAGACAAGGAAATCAGTCCATTCGTCATGGTTAATCTCCAACTCCTTGGTGAAGAGCAGAGACAAACGTGGGAGATGGGTATTAGGGACAGGGAGAATGAAGAGAAATATCAGATTTCCAGGAAGGAGGGAGAGGAGTGATTTACTCTGACTTATCTGCCTTTGGTATCCTATTATTATTTTATGGAACTGCACATGGTTTGTGTCTGAGCAGCTGCACTGGGGGAAGGTGGCACGTGTGTCCCCCCTTCCCACGCAGGGCATGGGTGGCAGGGTGGGCCATGGGGTTTTGGCTTCCAGCTGGGACACCTGCAGGAGAAAATAATCCTGGATGTCACGGGCATGCAGGTCAGGTTGGTGGGGAGTGGAGTTTGGCTTCTCAGCTGAAATCACACCTGAGATCAGCAACTGCCTCTGTGTCCCCAGTGTGTGCTGGGGCTGTTTCTGTGGTGCAGGGTGCTCAGGGGCAGGGAGGGCAGCACGTGGAGCTGCGTCAGCAAAGGCAGGCTGAGCAAAAACCCAACCCAACCCCTTGAGATTCTCCCAGAGGACTTGCTTTTTTGCCCTGGTTTTAAAATTAATTTTCAGGCTTTCTCTCCTGTGTCCTTTTCCTTCTTCCTAAACCTGCAGTGAGGGGAACACGCTCCCCAAACCCACCTGACAAAAGGAGGTGGGTGCTGGGATCAGGTTTCCCTCATTCCAGGTCACCACATCACATAATCACGTCCCAGATTTGGGCAGCCCTGCTGTATCTGTGCCTCCTGCCTCATCCCTGCAAGTCTTACATCTTGGAAGAACAGGAAAGCTCAAACCACAGCCCTGCTGGATCACTGCAGGGAATGAAGCCAAAGGCTGGTTGTTCCATCACCAAACTCTTTTAGGGGTTATCACCTTGGAGCTGCGCTGGCAGAAGGTTTTCCTGAAGACCTTGTGAAGGGTTTGGGTGGCCCCTGCAGACTTCAGGCACCTGTTTATCCCCTCAAACTCTGCTGGAGAAGCAGAAGTTGGCCATGCAGGGAGAGAAACCGGTGTCCTCCTGGGAGAAGTAAAACTCCCACGCGGCCGGGGCTGGGATTTGCTCTGACTCACCGCTCCACACAGCAACCAACCAATTCCTTCAGCACATGGATAATTCCCTCCTGTCACTCCTTCTCCCCCATCCCACATTGTGTGCATTGATAGGAGATCCCACTTGAACAAAAACATGGGGAACTGCAAACTAAAACAAGCGAACTCCAGGAAACCCGCCCGGATCTGGGATCTAACCGAACGTGTCGTTTGCTTCCCAAGTTTCTCCAAAAAGACTTTGCCGTGTTTTTCCAAATTGCTTTTTGGGAGGGTGCATCAATTTTGAAGAGAAAAGAGAGAAGACACAAAAAGCTTTTGTTTTACAGCTAATTAAGCCTCAAGGCAGAACGCTAAACTAATCATAATAATAGTCATAATTATTATTTCTCTCATTCAAAGCTAAGTCGACTGCAATTTTCCAATCAGCAGACTGGCATTTCCCATCAAACACAACGCCGTGGTTTGTGGTCGGGAAGAACTCCGTGGTTTTACTCTGGAACCTGATGCCATCAAGCCACCAGCTGAAAGTGGCTCTGTTTTCACACCCTGTGTGACAGAGGAATGGCCACACCCAGAGTGCTGCACACTTGCAACCAACACACCCTTCCTTTGGGCACGACCCCCAGCACCACGGGCCATGGAAATGTCCTGCAGAGATCACGGCAAGGATTGTGGCTCCCTCAGAAATACCTCGTGGCAAAAATACCTCCCCACCTCTCCCCAGGCCTGTAAATGCCCAAGAAGGCAGGAGAGATCCTGGATGTCTTTCAGACCTGGTTATTTATTCCCCGTGCATTTGATGAAATATTAATCTCCTCATCTCCAAAAGGCAATCAAATTAAAGCCCCCGAAGCGCCGAGGCACCGAGGCCTGTGCGCAGGGAACAAAACCCAGCAAAGTGGAGATGAAATAAAACCCCAAACCTAACGTCAGGTTCTATAAAACACATCTCTGTGGTGGCACAGAGGGCAGGGACGAGGTGACCCCGATGTCCTCGGAGCAGATGGGCTTGGCAGGCCGAGCAGGACCAAGGGGATGAAGAAGACTCGGCTCAGCTGCTTGGGGCGGGTCTGAAGCTTTTCTGCGAGGGCTGGTGGTGGGATTTCTTTGAAGGTTTCCCTTTCTCTCTCTCTGCTGCCTTAATGAGAGGGTGGGTTGGTGCCAAGGCAGCAGCCAGCCTGAGCCATTGTGCTGGGATGGCAGGAAGGCAGGAGGGGGATGTGTCGGAACTGGGGCCGCCTGTTACTGGTGGCACGGGGACAGGAGCCTCCTGGGGAGAGAACTTCCAGAGGGGATGTCTCCCTGCAGAGCTCAGGGCTCTGTCTCCATCTGCTTCCAGGGTAGCACAGCCTCAAACTGGACTCAGCCATCATCTGAGGCATTTTGTGTGTCCTCCACCCCCACACTCCTCTGTCTTCCTAAACCCAGGAACGTGGTTCTTGGAAAACATTCCTGCCTGCTGTGGATGGTGCTGGTATAAAAGGGTTTGCACATGCAGCCAGAAAGAGTCTGGCCAAGCGTTGTCCAGTTTGTGACCTCTCAGTCCATTTCCTTTGTGTGTTTGGGGCACATCTTTTCTTTACAATAATCTCCTGGTGTTTGAGGAGTCCAAAGGCTTTCCACCAGCTCTGTTTCTCCAGCTGTGGCCAGCTTACAGCTGTGCTGGGAAGTGGTGGGAGCAGCTTGCCTGCTAGTTGCAGTGATAAAATAATTTGCCTACATAGATAAAAATCCTCTTTCTATCAAATTTTCCTCTCCAGGCACTATGATCCTGTAGGTCCTCACTGCTTTGGCTGGGGACAAAAGCCAGTCATTTATTTATGAATTTATATCTCTCTTGGTTTGCTCTCTGGTTCTATAAAAGCCCCTCAGTCCATGAGAAGCCCAGAGATTATTAATATATCTATAATGCTTCATCCCACAGAGTTTAAGGTCC